TCCTTAATACTGGGGGCAGGTGAGAGAATGGACCTGGGGATTCTTCCAAATCACACCAGGATGTGGGCCATGCCTCCAGGGGCCTGAGATGCCAACACAAAGAAAAAAAATGACTCCCCACATCCCCTGGCTCAAACCCAATACAAAAGTGACTATTTACAATGAAGAGGTGGGGAGCGTGTGTGTGTGTGTGTGTGTGTGTGTGTGGGGGCACAGAAAGGAGTGGGGCCAGAGTGAGCACTCCGCTTGGGGGAGGCCACGCCCCTGGCCCCAACTTTGAAAGGGACATAGCCAGACAGCGTTGATATTTATAAATGGTCTCTATCCCCAGGGCGGGGAGGACCTGGGGTGAGGGATGGGGGTGGGGCATGGGATGGGGTGCGGGTGGGGAGGCATGATCTGTAGGAGGAGATGGAGGAAGGGTAGCTACTGCCCCTCGCCTTCCCCCCTCCCCCTCGCCGGACACACAGTTTTCCGTGGGATGAACACAGAAAGGGTTAATCAAAAAGTTCGATGAGCGAGTCTGACTGTCGAGTGGGGCGGGCTGGAGCAATGAGGCCGCAGGTCCCGGTGGCCGGTGGTGATGAAGTCACTTAGAAGATGAGAGGTTGGTGGTTTTGGGGGAGGGGGAGGGGGGAAGAGAGGGTGGGAAGGGGTATTAGGCGGTCCCCCCCTCCCCCCCATTATTTCCGGGAGACAAGAGTATCCTGGACTGGCTGAGAAGAGATTAAAAACCAGCAGCCTTCACCACCCCCGCAGAGCCTTTCCCCATCTTCCACCCTGCCACCCAGCAACCCCCAACGCAACTGGCTGAGGGCACAGAGACGGACCTTACACACACCAGCGGCTGCACCACAGACAGAGAAGCCCGGTCCACCGTGGCGTCCAGAAAGCTGAAAGCTGACTGCGGTGGAGAGGGCTCGCGATAGCAGGGCTGGGTGTCGCGACTCCACGAGAGTCGTAAGCCAGTGTTCCAGGTCCCCAGTGCCCGAACTTGGGGGCATCGTGATCCCATTCTCCCCATCGTGACATCCAATTCAGGCTTTCACGACAGCCGGCCTCGGGGTTCGGACGGCGGCGGGGCAGGTACGTGGAGACCAGCGAAGGCCTGCCTGGGTGTCGCGATAGGTGTGCACCCCATCAGCAGCCTGGACGCTCAAATTGCCACCCTCATCACCACTCTTGGTTAACATTTTTTTTCTCCGCCGCCCTCCTCCGTGTTCTACAACCTCTAATCCTGGTCTTGAAACAGCAACAACCGATGCAGGGGAATCCTCTCACTTTCCAAACAGTAGGCCACCAATCAGAAACAAAATAAAGAGGGTCTGGGATGGAGGACTAGGAAGGGGAAACAGATCAAGGGCATATTGAGAGGTTTGGGGGTTAAGGGGAGAATACCACTTAGAGAAAAGTGATACCCTATTGTTCCAAGTATAGGTCCTCAACTAAGTTGACTCTTAACAAATTCCAATTGGGATACATGTGGATGACCTTCGCCTTCTCATCCCTAATAATTATTGCAGTGAACCCCCCCCCCTTGCCCATGTAGAGATGGCTGGGACAGGGCAGAAGAAGGTGCCTGGGGCAGGTTGGCTCAGAGCCCCCCCAGATGGGGGATGAAGGAAGTGAATTTGGCACATTGAACCCCTTCTTCTCATAAGTGCTTTGAGGTCCTCTCCAATCCAGCTGGCACCATCCCATGGGCAAGCGGAGGAGGGGATGAGCTTGTCTCCCTGTCCCCCCAAAATTTCTACAGATTTGCCAGAAGGAGGCAAGTAGGGTTCTCCCTGGCTGGTAGAATCTGGGGGATCCAAAAGGTTGGGATTAGCTGAAGGGGAGGGTTGTTTTTTTTTTTAATGTCTTTTTGTTTTCTTATAAAGATTCTAAGAAAAACTCGGGTTGGGAGGGGTGAGGAAGGGGGACCCAATTTAGCTAAGTGTCCACAGACTTTTTCAATGCCTCTTAGGGGCCTCCTCAAAGAGAGATGGTCCCGTTTCCTCCCCCCATCCAAGGTTCCCTTTCCCCAGTGCGGCTCAGTTCCAAGGAAGTTTGGCACTTTTTTTTTTTTTAATCAATGGGGAAATAGGAGGGAGGAATTGAGGAGAGGGGGAAGACAGACACAGACAAAGATAGAGACAGGACAGGTGACAATGGGAGACACAGGGAGAGAAAGTAGAAAGCTATAGGGAGCCAGAGGGAGAAAGAGAAAGGGAAATGCTGGGGGGAGGTGTTGGGAGCTGAAGGGCAAATGGGAAGGAACAGGGAGACAATTCAATGCAGCAAACACTTATTAAGCACCTACTGGGTGCTGAAGAGCAAGGAGGCCACTCAGAGTCTCTGAGACTTGACTGGCTAACAGGGAAAGAGGGAAAAAGAGGCAATGGGTTTTTCAGTGATCCCCATCCCTGACCCCATATCTGCGTCCCCTCTGGACAAACTGCAGCACAAAAGATTGAGGTCAGATTGCAGAAGGGACTTTCAAGGGATGGGGAAAGATGGTAGAGTGAGTTTCCCAGGGTAAAATGAGGAAAGGTGGGTGGTTCTGCACTCACCAGTGTGGTGAGTGAACTAGCTCACTGAGCTAGCAAACTACCTTTCAGATAGCCCTGGCTGGCGGGGTAGGGGGTCCCCGAGACATGTGAATAGGGAAGGGGCTGTCACACAGATACCCCAAGGGAACACTTTTCTGGAGGCCCAGCCTCCAGAGTTGTGTCTGTGTGAAAGGAATACTGCAGCCCAATGTACGGGTCTACAGAAAGCATCTGACAACCAGAGGGCAGCGGATGCAAATGATATGCAAGTGAGCACTTTCAAATCCCACCTCCCCACTCCCAGACCTTACTTTACTAATCCTTGGCTCCTTCCCCTCCTCCTGGGGGTCTGGGGAGGGGGCTGTAGGGAGGATATTCCAGCTAGATACTGCAATACCCATGTGTGGGTAGAGATACTGTGAAATACTGTAAGGTCTTTTGAGAGGTGGAGGAGAGCAGTGGCCCACAGGGCCACCTCCACCTCCAGCCCCAGGAGCCCCCAACTGCAGAAGATATGTACAAAGTTACATCAAGAATTGTTTTGGCACTCAGATCTCCATCTGGGTTCAGTCTGGAGATTAGGGGTGGGTGGGGCAGCAGCGATGGGAGGTGGGGGATGGGGAAATGGGGCCTGCCCCACCCCCCGGAGATGAAGAGGACATGGAAAGTTACCCTAGTGCCCAAGCTACAGCCTCCCATCGGGTGGAAGGGCTGGGGTGGGAGAGTCAGTGCAAGGTACCTTGAAGGCTATTGCTTTCTAGGGATTTTCACATTTTGATTTGGGGGTGGCTCTCTAGTGGAGCAGCAAGGGTCTCCTAGGCTTCAGGGGCAGGAATTGTCTCTGGCTTTTCTTCCCTCTTTTTTTTTTTTTTAGAGAGAGAGAGAGATGAGGAGGCCAGATTCCCCCCAAAGCCATGGAGAAGAGAAGGGTCTGGAAGACCTAGGAGGGGACAAACGGGGGAGAGGTTGGGCATGGGGTGCCCCTCCCCCAGAGATGCTGATGATGGAACCAGGGCACTGGGGGCCCTGCTTTGGGTTGGAGGAAGTGGAGGTGGTCTCCAAGGGGGAGGGGGAGATGGATGGGGGTCGAAGCAGGTCTCAGCTATCCTAAGTCCACAGGATGGTCAGGCCCTGAAATCTCAGCCTGCCACAAGGTCTTTGAGCTGACCATGGCTGCAGTGCTCAGGGAGCCACTCCCAAACCAACTCTCAGGGCTGCCTGGCTTGCCAGATTCCATCAGAACATTCTAGCTCCTCAGGGCCCATGGTGAGAGCACCAAAACATTCTGATCCATCAGATACCACCAAAGTGCTCCAGCTCGCTGGAAACCACAAGCCAGTCTAATCCATTAGACCACACAAAGCATTCTAGCCAAGGGACCCTACCATGGCTCACTGAACTCTACACTGGGCCATGCTGGCCTGTCAGAGCCATCACACATTTGGCTCACCAGACTCAATGAAACAAAGCCACGCAGACACAAGCATGCACACAAAAGGCGGAGGTGGGAATGGGGGTCTTTACCAGTAGTTTTCACTAGCTCCATCTCCCACCCCTCCCTGCCAGGTGAGTTCACAGACTTGGTGTGTTTGGATGGAGATGACCCTGACAATACTGGGTCTTTTTCCTTATAGTCTTTCAGATTAGATCCAAGTCCCACCCCTGACTCTCCTCCTAGGAAGACCCCTAGGTCAAGACCCACCAAAGAGGGCGATGGGTGGAGAAGGGGGTTCAGTATCTGGCCATGGCCCAATACAGGAAGTGCATGCTTCATCTCAACGACATCACAAGAAGTACCCTGGAGACACCACAGGAAGTACATGCCCCCATGATATCACTGAAGTAGCCTTCCAAGAAGGCTCATTGAGACATCAGAGGAAGTACCTCTCTTTCCTATCATCACAGGAAGTACCTCTGGGGAACTACTTCCTGTGATATCATAAGGAGTGCCAGAAGCACCCCAGAAAGTACTTGACTCAATGACATCACAATAGGGACCTTCATTCCCATTACTTTAGGAAAAGCCATAGGAGATGCCATAGGCAGTTGCTCCAGCCTTTCTCAAGAGTTTTGTCCATGGGACTGGCCCAGTCTGAGAGCCGGCCTCATTCCCACCAGCATAGCACTCCCCCCCCAACCCCCCCACGCCCCCCCCATACAACCTGACAACAAAAGCGTTAAAAGTCCCACCTAGGAGGGGTTAACTCCAGTGGGGGCAGGGTAGCTGAGAAAATCTGGAACTCTGGGGTCCCTGCTCCAAATGCCCCATTTCAGCTCAGACGCCTATGCTACCTGTACGCCCATCACCTCCCTCCATCTGGAACTGCAGCAGGAGAGGTGGGGTGTTGTTTTGGGGAGGCCCCTCATTCTAGGTAACCCAGAGCCTCCCTCCCCTCCTCCCATATTGAAACAAAAACTTATAAAGGGGGGGAAAAAATCCTTACAGGAAAAAAAAAAAAAGGAGGGAAAGAAAGAGAAAATAACGCTTTGTTTTCTATTAAAATCAACAAAATGCAATATATACAGATATCACACAGACCTGGGCCCTGGGAGAGGAGAGTCAGGCCCAGTCAAGCATAGGGAGGAAGGAAGGAGGGGTCAGTTCAGGGCTGGGGAGGGAGCTTCTGGGCCCCATCCCCAGCCATCACTCAATCCTGCCTATGACTACCAGAAGGGAGGGGCGTGCAGTCAGACCTACCCCAGCCCCAATCCCATGAGGAGCAGGACTACACCGAGCTGAGGTCAAGAGTTGGGGGGGGGGGAGGAGGAGAGGAGGAGGAGGAGGAGAAAGAGGAGGGACAGGGAGAAGGGTGGGAGCACACACCACAGGCCTCATCCCACTTTCTGGGGGTTTGAGGCCCTCACCCCCTGCTCGTAGGTGACCCGCTGGCTGATGAGGTATTGAGCGGCTTGCGTGGCCGCGGGGCTGCCTGTGATGGTGACCCGCCGGTTCCGTGTGCCGGGCAGGAACTCGCCCTTCTTGGAGATCTGGATGCGGGCACCTGTCAGCTCCTGGTACTCCACCAACGTCTTGCCCCCCTTGCCCAGGATGGCCCCCACCAGGTTCTCAGGCACCGCAATCTCCACCAGCTCCTTGGCACTCTCGGCTGCCAACTTCTCTGCGGTCAGGAAGCCTCCAGCCGCTCCTGCTGCGGCTGCAGCGGCCACAAGTGGGCCACCCCCTCCACCTGCCCCACCACCCGCCCCGGCCCCAAGGTAGCCGTTGGCGGCTGCGGCCAATGCAAAGGACCCCAGGGCTCCGGGTGGCGGGGGTGGAGGTGGGGCGGCCCCTCCGGCTGGCCCGGCCCCTGCCTCACCCGCGTAGGATGCCAGAAGGTTGGCAGCAGCAGCAGCGGCAGGGTTGGCACCGGCGGCCACAGCAGCCAGGACCCCAGAGGCTGCCGCAGAGTTGAGGCCTAGGCCGAGGGAGTTGGTGTTGTAGCCGTAACTGGCCAGCGTGTTAAGCGCCGTGCTGATGGCCAGCAGGTCGGTGCCGGAGAAGGCAGGCAGGGCGGCAGGAAAGGCGCCCACGCCTGCCAACCCCGCGGGACCCAGCAGGCCGGAGGCTGCAGCGGCGGAGGCAGCGGCCGCCGCAGGCAGCACATCAGCGGGACTGGCGTACGGCGAGCCGGTGGGGTTGGAGTTGGCCACGGGGCCAGCCACGTTGGCGTAGCTGATGTTCAGGCAGCTGCTGCTCTGGGGGTCTTCCTGTACCTTCTGCACGATGGCGCTCACGGCCTTGTGCACTTGCTCGGGTTCACCGCTGACTGTCACCACGCGCTCCTGCAGGTTGATGCCTTCTGGCTTCTGGGACAGCTGCACCCAGGCACCTGACTGTTCCATCACCGCTTTCACTGTGGCGCCCCCCTTCCCGATAATCAGGCCCGCCGTGCTGTTGGGGACGATCAACTTGGCCTGTGTGAGGGGCGAGAGGGAGGGTCTTTAGGGTGGTAATCGGAGCCTGCGCGGTAACATCAGGGTCAATCCCAAACCCTGTTCTCAAGTGTCCCAAATCAGGCCCAGCCAGCCTCTTGGATATGCACCAGTATGGTCCTACTGGTTGTTAAAAAATACTGAAATATTTCCATATTGGTTGGTAAAAAAAAAAAAGATCTAGTACTCCCAAGTCCTCTCAGTAGCCTCTCAGCCACCCTGTATTATGTCCCTGGGTCCCCTGGGACCTCCCTTCCACCAGGCACCTTAAAGACTTAATGGCTGACCCAGTGGGGGCCCACCAAGCTTGCATTGGTGCCGGTGCCCTTCTACAGTATATCAATGAAGTCTTCTGAGTCCCAGCCCCAGAAAAGGCACCATTAGTCTCACTTTACAGATGAGCCACTTGAGGCTTAAGAGGTGAAGGGACTTGCCCCAAGGTCACCCTAATGGTGAAGGAGCTGAAATTTGGCCTCATGGATTCTTGCTCCATTGTGCTTCCTACCCTAGGACATGGTCAACTCGCTTAACCTTTTTCTTGCTGTTATGGGCTGAATTGTTGCCCTCGTCCCCCAATTCATATATTGAAGTCCGGGTAACCCCCTCAGAATATGATGGTATTGGAGATTGGAGCTATAAAGAGGCAATTAAGGTTAAGTGAGGTCATTAGGGTGGTCCCTAATCCACTAGGACTGGTGTCCTTATCAGAAGAGATTAGGACACAGACCCACGCAGAGGAAAGACCAGGTGATGGCACAGGAAGACGGCCATCTACAAGCCAAGGAGAGAGTCCTCAGAAGAAACCAACCCTGCCAGACACCTTCATCCAGGACTTCTAACGTTCAGAATTGTAAGAAAAGAAATTTCGGTTGTTTAAGCCACCCAGTTGGTGGCACTTTGTTATGGCAGCCCTAGCAATTTGATACAGTTGTCTTATCTGTAGAATGAAGATAACACAACCTTACATCTGAGAAGGCAAGGATACAACTGGTCACTTAAATGTGGTGGTCCCTCCTTCTCTGTGGCAGAGCAGCCCATCCTTTGCAGCCACAAAACTGATCAATCTTAATTTCAAAATTAAATGTCTCCTTTCACATCTCCAAGAGCATTTCCACACAGAAATTCCTCCTTCTCAATCCTCTCCACATCCCCTCCGACCTGTGTATTCTAGCCCCTAAGCTATCACCTCCGCATCTCCTCTCTCCACTCAAGCCAGACCCCGAGGGAGCTTGGGAAATTTGTGGCAGTGGTTTGGGTTGTCACAATGATTAGGGGCAGATGTGGGCATTCAGGGAGCAGGGCCACGGATGTTTGCACCCCACAATGTTAGAGTCAGTTCCTCACGATGAAGAACCATCCCAGGTCCTCTATGATTTTTGAATGCCCCCCCCTAGACATCCATGTTGGTGAAAAGTCTGTTTATAAATCTAAGTCCAGAACTGAATTCCATGATACATATAAATACTAAGTATTTTTTTGCATGGTTTTATGATCTACTGAGATTTCCAGGAATACAACTCTCAGTCAATCAAGGGAAGGTTGTACTTTGTTTTGTTCTGAACTTTACCAAGAGTCTTTCATCATTTTAGAAAACCATGACATCAGCAGGAATGCCACTTTTATCATTTAAGTCTCCAACAGTACACTCTGGATCACTGAGTTTGTCACTGTCTCACTCACTTAGGCTATGTTAGGTGTGGGCAACTATTTCGTTATTTCTTCTACTGTGGTGCTGGCTGAGTCTTTACATATTAAAATTAATCTTATTTTATAACAAGTCACCTTCCTTTCATTTATCCTTCATTTAAAAAAAGTCTTATGGGATACAGAAAAAGTACATCCATATAATGGATCTGGCGATCAGCTTAAACGAATGAAGGTCTGATCCATGCTAGAGCATGGATGAACCTAGAAAGCATTATGCTGTGTGAACAAAGCCAGGCGCCAAAGACCACATTTTGTATGAGTCTATTATATGAATGTTCAGAACAGGCAAACCTACTGAGACAGAAAGTAGCTTCATGGTAGCTTAGGGCTGGGAGGGTGGTGAACTGGGGAGGACTGAAGGGTGATAGCTAAGGGGATCAAGATTTCTTCTGGAGGAAATGACATGATCTAAAATTGATTGTGGTGACGGATGCACAACTCCAAATATAATAACACCATTGAATTGCACTTTAAATGGATGAATTCTACACATATGAACTGTATCTCAAAACTGTTAAAAATCTTAGGATCTAGATATGTTTTATATCTATATCTTATAAATAATTTCAGAGAGTAAGCGGGAGTGGGAAAATATTTATAGGAGAAAGAGGACATTGGCTCTGACAAAGCTGAGAGCCACTTGCTGCTGCTCTACAGGCTCTGCTCCCTGTCAATCTCTCTGACTTCAACACTTCCGTGCTGTTCCTCCAACCTGCCAAGTTCCCACCAGACTCAGGACCTTTGTACCTGCTGTTCCCTCACTTGAAATGCTCTTTCCCAGAAAAGAAGGCTCACCCCGCCCTGCATCCAGGTCTTTGCACAAATGCACGTCCTCCAGATAGGCCTTCCCTGACCACCCAATTATCAAAGCCCGTTTATTTGCCTATTTTATGTCTGCAGCATGGATACCTCCAGACATATCCAACTGCTAATCTCACAGCTCTAGTATGATGTTGAATGGACACCTCAGACTTAAAGTCCAAAATGGAACTCATCTTTCTCCTCAAACATGTTTCTGCCACGGTCTTCCTCATTTCAGTACATGGAAAATGCATCCTTTCACTTCTCAGGCCCAAGACTTAGGCGTCTTCTTTTCCCCTCACACTCAACATCCAATCAGCAATGCTGTTGGCTCTTCCTTCAAAAATATATCCTAGACCAGGGGTCGGCAAACTGCGGCTCCGTGAGCCACGTGCGGCTCTTTGGGTACGTTCCATCTCAAAAGTTTGCGGACCCCTGGAAGAGCCAATCCTGTCCCTCACAACAATCGAAAAATTATTCCAGAGCCACAAATATATTTTTACATAATCACCATTATATGAATAATATCCTTTAAAAATTTTATAAATGAAACTATGATAATTTTATTTTCATTTGCAATTTTACTTCAGAGCCACATGCTCGTGAGCCTCGGTTTGCTGACCCCAGGCGGCTCTTCCATCTCAAAAGTTTGCCAACCCCTGTCCTAGATTATTCTAGATCGAGGGAGACTAATCAGGGACAACAACCAAATACAATGAGTGAACACTGACTGAATCTTGGATGGAAAAATATGTAATCTATAGACATAAAAGACAGTTTGGGGCAATCTGAATATAGATTTTTGTTAAATAATAGTATGGAATTAGTATTGCTTTGGTAGGTATGATAATAGTAATATAATAACACAGGAGACTGGCCTTGTTCTTGGGAGATATATGCTGAAGTATTGAGGGGTGAAGAGTCATGAGGCCTATAACTTATTTTCAAATGGATCAGCAACAAACAAACAAATAAACAAAAAGCAACTTCTGTGTGTGTGTGTGTGTGTGTGTGTGTAGATATAAAGCAAATGTTAAAAATTAGTGAACCTAAGTGCAGTGTGTAGGTAGTTCATTGTACTATTCTTTGAATATTTTCAAAATAAAACGTTATGAGAAAAAATATACCGGGGGTGCCAAAAAAAAATGTTTACAAGCAGATACTTAGATCAGCGTTGCTCAAGCAGTAGTTTGACATAATCAGAAGTATCTGGACGCTGATGGTGACTTTGAGTACCTGTTGTAATTGCAGAAGTCAAACATGACTTGGATTTATCTTTTGTTATCGGTATATATTGAGTATTACAATTTCAATACAGTTTTCCTCTCTCAAAATGTGTGTACATTTTTTTGGCACCCTTTGTATATGCCCCAGTACTCCCTTTCCCTCTTTTCTGCTTGATTTTTCTTCATGGCACTTTCACTCTCTGACATGCTATACATTTTACTTATTTACTTATTTTCTGTTTCTGATAGAAGATTTACTATCTTCTGTTTCTGTTAAGAGAATTTAAGATCCACAGGGCAGAGGTTTTTTTGTACTGTTTACTCCGGGGTTCTCAGTGCCCAGAGGAGTGCCTGGTACACACTCAGCAAAGGGTGGGTGACTGATGGGTGGATGAAAGAATGAATGACAATATGCCCACAGGACCAAGAAGGAATAGGACTGGGTGGAGGCAGCCAGATGTATCTTACCTGGTGGTGTATATGTTTGTATAGCATGATGCTGTGCATTTGGGTAGCCAAACTCAGCCGGATCTGAGTTTTCTAGGTTAACTGGACATTCTGATTTGTCAAATGTAAAGCATCCTAGTTTTTAGGTTTTTTGTTTTGTTTTGTTTTGTTTTAGCTGAGCCATTCTGCCACCTGTTGGCAGCTCAGCGGCAGCTCAGCTCGGGCCAGGACTCGAACCGCTGTTGCTCAGAGCAGATACTCTTGAGCGAGCTCTTAACCAACTGAGCCACTCGGCCGGTCCTCCTAGTTTTTAAACGTTGGCAACCACTTCAAAATGTCTAAGGAGCAAAAGCAAGTGCCTTCATCTCTCTGTGCACACATATCCCTGAAAAGCTGCCTTGGACTTTGCGGACACCTGCTCAGGCTCAAATCCTGGCTCCACCACTGATGCTGAGCAAGAGACTTAATTTGAGAGTCAGTTTTCTCATCTGTAAAATGGGGATATTCACATTTCCTTCAGACGATTATTATGAGGCCCAGTAGAGAACATGCATGAAATGAAGAGCTTAAAATTCAAGCACGGCCACAATTAACTAGAATTGAGTATGAAGGTCCTTCAGGTGATTCGCAGAGCCTACCACTGCCAGGTTATAACTGGCTACCTCGCCTCAATCATGTTTCTGCTTGGCCCCTGTGGGCATGTCATCATCCATTCATTCAAAAGCAACATTTGCTGAGCACATATGATGTGTCAAGCGCAGGGTGCCGTGTGAATGTGCAATTAATATGTGCTCAAAGTGGGTACTCAAGAAATGGTTGTTGTCATTGTTACCTCATGGGCAGACCTGAATTTAAATCCCACATCTGTGTCACAGTCACTGTGGAAAATTGTCTGGCAGTTTTTTGAAAAGTTAAACAGATTTATCCTGTGACCCAGCAATTCCACCTCTAGGTATACACCCAAAAGAACTGAAAACATATGTCCACACATATGTTCTTTAGCAGCATTATTCATAGTAGCTAAAAAGTAAAAACAATCCAAATTTCTATCAATTGATGAATAGACAAAATGTGATATATCCATACAATGGAATATTATTTGACCATAAAAAAGAATGAAGTTTTGATATGTGCTATAATATGGATGAATCTTGAAAACATTATGCTAAGGGAAAGAAGCCGGACACAAAAGCTCACAAAATATCATTCAATGTATATGTAATAACCAGAATAGGCAAATCCATAGACATAAAAAATAATTAGTGGGGGCCGGCCGAGTGGCACGTTGGTTAAGAGCTGGCTTGGGACACCACAGAGGACCCCGGTTCAGATCCCACATATGAGGGCCAGTGACACTGCCCTCTACAGCTAAGATGCTGAACAACAGCTCAACCTGGAGCTGGGCTGCCGTGAATCACTGGCAACAGCTAGGCTGCAGCCACTGCTGCAGTGGGTTGCCATGGGCTACCGTGTGTAGCCAGCAGCCAGCGTGAGCGGCCAGCAGCCACAGTGAGTGGCTGTCCAGAAGCCGGCGACTGATCTGCCTCGCCAGGGAAGAGCGCAATGATGGTGCCAACTTGGGCCAGTGAAGCAACGTCCTCCACAACTAGACTGAAGAACAAAACGACAGCAACTTGTCTGTTCCCCTTCCCCCAATTCCCCAATAAAAATCTTAAAAATAATAATAATAATAATAATTAGTGGTGGAAAGGAGCCGGGCGGGGGCCCAAGGTGAATGGAGAGTGACTGTTAATGGGTATTGGGCTTCTTTTTGGGGGTGGTGAAAATGTTTTGGAATGAGACAGTAGTGATCAATGCACAACTCTATGAATATACTAAAACCACTGAATTATATATGCTTTAAAATGGTGAACTTTACAGTATGTGAATTATATCTCAATATAGCTGTTATTTTTAAAAAATCATAAGAAAACAGAAATCTGAGAAGTCAAGGGGATAGAGCAGAAGAATGTACAAAACTAGATCTAGGAGCAAAGAGGTATTTAGTATGTGAGACAGCATTTCAGAGCAAAGGGGCAAAGATGGGGCCTCGTCATCCAAGAAACTCTGACCACCAAGAAATGGTAAAAGCAAGTGCCTTCACCTCTCTGTGTTTCAGTTTCCTCATCTCCAACACTGATATAACTATAGCTACTCCATACAGTTATTGGGAATATTCAGTGACTAACGTGACTGTCGAGTGCCTGGCACATGGGAAACCCTCAGAAAACAGCTGCTTTCAGACTGTAGAACCACAGCATCTTCAAGAGATCTGCAGGGGCAGTTTCATAGAATCCTGGAGTCCCAGGATGTTAGAACAGTAGAATCTTAGAATAATATATGCTTAGAATCTTGGAATCACAGAGCCAAGGAACTGTAGGAGTTTTAGAGCCAGGAAGACCTCAGAGACCATCTGTCCCAGTGAGTTGCAAGTTTAGAGATTTTTAAATAATAGTAACAACAACAATAGCAGCAGTAACTAACAGTGCTTACCATATACCAGGCACTTTTCTAAACTTTCAGATAGTAACTTACTTCATCTTAGCCATAACCCTGACAAGGAAGGTACTATTATCATCATATTTTATAGATTGCAAAACAAAGGCACAGTGAGGTTCAGTAACACACTCAAGATCATACAGAGAGTGGGTAACAGCCGTGATCTGATCCCAGGCCAGAATCTATGTTCAGGTTCCCAGGCCTTAGTCCAAGAAATTCTGATTCAGGGCTGGGACCCTGGAATATGCATTGTAAGCTACTAGATAATTCAGATACCAGTAAGGGTGGCAAACTAGTGGTCCTCAGGCCATAACCAGCCCATAGCCACACGATGTTTTAAACATGGAGCTGACCTTTAAAAATCAATTGATTTCAGGGCTGGCCAAGTGGCACATTGATTAAGAGTTGGCTTGGGGGCCGGCCGAGTGGTGCGATGGTTAAGAACTGGCTTGGGATGCCAGAGGGCCCCGGTTCGGATCCCACATATGAGGGCCAGTGATACTGCCCTCCACAGCTAAGATGCTGAACAACAGCTCAACCTGGAGCTGGGCTGCTGTGAGTTGCCGGCGACGGCGTAGGCTGCAGCCCCTGTGGCAGTGGGTTGCCATGGGCTACCGTATGTAACCAGCAGCAAGCGTGAGCGGCCAGCAGCCGCAGTGAGCGGCCGTCCAGAAGCCGGCGACTGATGTGCCTCGCCTGGGAAGAGCGCAATGATGGTGCCAACTTGGGTCAGTGAAGCAACATCCTCTACAACTAGACTGAAGAACAAAAGGACAACAACTTGTCTGTTCCCCTTCCCCCAATTCCCCAGCACTGTTCCCATACCCACAATTCCCCAATAAAAAAAAAATTAAAAAAAAAAAAGTGTTGGCTTGGGATGCCAGCTCTGAGCAGCAGGACCCCAGTTTGGATCCCACATTAGGGCCAGTGACACTGCGCTCTCTACAGCTAAGATGGTGAACAACAACTGGACCTGGAGCTGGGCTGCTATGAGTCACCAGTGGCGGCATAGGCTGCAGCAGGGCTGCAGTGGGCTGTCGTAAAGCTACTGTGAGTGGCTGGCAGCCGGCGTGAGCGGCCAGCAGCCAGCATGAGCTGCCAAGAGCCGCCGTGAGTGGCTGTCCAGTGGCCGGCGAGCGACTGCCTCACCCAGGAAGAGCGCAATGATAATACCAACATGGGCCAGTGAGGCGACATCCTCCACAACTAGACTGAAGAACAAAAAAGGACAGCAACTTGTCTGTTTCCCTTCCCCTATTACCCAAGAAAATCTTTTGAAAAATTCAGTTGATTTCAAATATTTCTTGGCTTCTTTTGAAAAATTTGGAAGATATAGCAACACTATGTCCACATTCCCAAAGGGCAAGAATCAAGTGGAGTTGAGTAGCGGTTGTCCCCTTTAAGAGATGGCATTATAGCTTTATGATGAGGCCACAGTCCTCAATCCTTTACGTTCCCTTTGTGAATCCTGGAGGCATTTCAATTTATAATCCCTGGCTTGGCCTGCTTCCACACTGTAAAAAGGGAAACTGAGGATTATGGAAGGGAAGAAGACTTAGAGTAACACAGCAAGTCCAAGACAAAAAGGGAATAGACAGACCTATCTCCTGACTCAAAAATCCCATAACAATAACAATAGCTAATATTTTTTGAGAACTTTCTATGCATTGGGTACATGCTAAGTGCTTTTCAAACATCAATGAACACTAACTACCACCCTTAAGCAGGTACCAGATAAATCTCATTTTACAGATGAGAAAATGAAGTATGGAGAAATCAAGTCACTTGCTCAAGGTCACACAGGTAAGAAGTATCAAAGTAAGAGTCAATGCAACATCTGACTCCAGAGCCTGAGCCTTCAGCCATTAGCTCTATAATTCTTTGGAGCCCCCACGTTTAATAAGGCAGAGGAAAAATCCTGGTTCTATAACCTTTCGACGCCACTATCTCAGAGTTCCTTTGGATTAGGGGGCGGGGTGGGAGGCTGAGGCACAGATGGTGCTTACCCCATTTTCTCTGCAACATGTACAAACTCTTGATGAACTCTGGGCCCCTTGTGGCCACAACCAAGGTAGCCTCCCTGTAAACTGTGGGTAAACTGTGGCCTGCTGGTGGGAAAGGATTCGGAAGAGGCCTGGCAGGGCGCATGGAGAAGAGCCGCTTCAGCACCAAGGACAGCACCCGAGCGCGCTCCAGGCCCCAGGCCCGCAGTCTTTTTTGGGAGAATCCTCTGAGCCGCATTCTTCCAGAGCTTTCGGCCCACCGTTTCCCCACGAGCTTGGAGAACTCAGTCTGTGGTCTCCTCCACCTCAGGGCAACAAAATTTCCAAGAATTCCAGATTCCTTTTACAGAGGCTCTCTCTCTTGTCTTTGCTTCTAGGCAGACGGTAAGAAACCCTCACAAGTGGCCTGTTCGGCCTGCCCGGGGCTTCTCGCCCCTTTGCATCGTGCACGCGTGCAAATGGGAGCCAAGACGAGAGAAAACTGGGAGTGTGCGCAGCCAGCCCCGCGTTCCCCTCCCCTTTTGCCCCCTCCCCTCAGGACCGCTGTCAGGGGCTTTGCAGCAAGCCCACCTGCCCGGTGAGTACCGTGGTCATGGCAACTGGAGAGACCCGGAAAGCGATTGGTCCGTTCCCTGCTACGCCCCTACGCCACCGCTTCCCTGTAACTGAGGCAACCGAGAGGCTCTGCCCTTCTATCCTGTGTAGGAAAGGGAGCTGCTCCCACTCTGGCTAATGAAACGTCATTTCTCCAAAATGGTGGCTACTCCCATACAGTAATTAATGAAGAGGGGCACTATGAGAGGCCGTTTCTAAACTCTTCTAGATGTGGAAAGGCTGTCGCTGAGGTCATTTTCAGCGAGAACAGGAAGTGGGAGGCAGGTTGCTCCGAGGGACAACGGGATGAGGTGGAGGGGGAAGAGGACCTGGAGTCCCTGGAAGAGGGGATAAGTAGGGGTGTCTTGGCCAAATACTCCTAAACCTTCACTCTCTCTCTCTCTGAATCAGGGTGGTCTGGAGTCCCCAGACTGACTCTCTAGTAATAAGAGTAATAATAATAATAAATAATAATAATAACCACTACTACCACGTATTTGATTGATAAATATTTTATCCACATTATCCCATTGACACCCCATAGTAATCCAGTAATGGGAGAAGGGTCTTTTCCTGAACCTCACCAGCTTCCAGAAACCCATTCTGTCCCCGCTGACCTGCTTGGCTCTGTCAGGGTTCATCGTGGTTTGGGGTTGAAGGATGTTGACCACCTCAGGTTTGGTCATCGCTTGTGGGATTTCTCGGACCTTCTCAGCAATAAAGCTGTGCACAGCATTCAAGGCCTCTGCTGTGCCCTGTACCAGGCATACTCGCTCTGTGGTTCCTGTTGAACAAGGAAGAGAGAGGGCACACTCATCAGACAGGAATGGGGACATTCCTGAGAGAGAGGCCCTGTTTAATGTAAAGAGAAAACGGGAGGTCTAGAGAGTGGTCACGTGGTAAGCCTGGGCAAGTTGGCATGGGCTCCCAGGCCACGGTGGGTAGCTGGGATCCCTGTTTTATAATCTGTACTTCATTGCCCTCCCCTAATACAACCCCAGGGGATGAAGAATGATGCTTAAGTGCTTTGCGATGCCCACAGCAGCCCTGGGCAGGGGAGACAGGGCTCAGCTGCCTCTTCTCAGTTCTTGCTGGCTCCCGGTTGCTTTGGCAACCATTCACTCACTCCCCCTTCTAGAAGCAGAGAGCTCAGGCCTGCAACGGTTGCCACAGTAACTGGAACCCCCTTATCGGTCTGGCTGGCCGGGTCCTCAGCCCACCCCCAGGGGGACGAAGGACGAGGCCCCGTTGCCATGGCAACCCCTGAAAGCCTGCAGCGAAGGCCTCTGGGCTTTTGGAGAAGATGGGGAAGGGCTGGGGGATGGGGGAGACAGAAGAGAGGCCGGAGTGCCTGCTTGGACCCACCAGATGGAGGGCTGAGGGGTGGGGGAGGGCAGGGGTGTGGATAGGGGTGAGCAGAGTGGGTCAAAGGCAACTCGTGGAAGAGCGAGGACTGGGAGACTGGGTGTCTTTGCTGGAGATTCTCCAGATATTGGCTGTGGTTCTGACCTGGACATCCTTACTACATATGTGTGTGTGTGTGTGTGTGTGTGTTGGGGGTCAGTGGGGAGGAGAGAAGCTAACTCTGGGTGGTGGTGGCATACATGTGTGTGGGAGAGAGACTCTGGGTGACACTGTGAGTATATCTGTGAGGCTGTTTGGTTGAGTGGGGTGCGTGTGTGTGTGTGTGTATGTATGGACATGCATGAGTGTGTATACTTGGGCAGGACTGGCCAAATGATCTACATCTGGGTGTATAAGAGAAAGAGTGGGAGAGCCAGATATAAACAGACTGTATGACACAGTGATTCCAGGAAAGATGTTTGTGTGTATGTACTCTTGTGTGTGAGAAAGACTTTGGGTGTTGCTGTGATATTCAAGGTTATACTATTTGTGATGCTGAGCTGAGAGTATGTGAGAGTTTAAGAGAAAGAAACAAAGAATCTCACAAAGTGACACTGAAGCTGTGTGATGAATGCATACCACTTTGAGACTGTATGACTGTGTGTTTGTGCATGTGCGTGCACAGCTGTGTAAGGGAGATGACTAGACACCTCTATTTGGATGACAGGTGTGTGGTGTGTGTGACCACGTGTGAGTGTGTGTATAGAAACCGACAAGACTATGGCTGATGGGTGTGAATATGAGAAAGAAAGAGAACAACAGGCCGACTCAGGTGTCAGGATGTAGGACTATTTGGAGGACTGATGTGTATGTGTGTTTAAGTGTATGTATTACAGCCAGACAAAGGACACTCGACTATGCCTGGTGGGTGTGAGAATGTCAGTGCGTGGGTGAGTGGGCCGTGTTTGGTGTGTAGAGCGTGTGTGTGACTCTCCCTGGGTGGGACTCTGTCTGTAGGACCAGTTAGCTCCCTGGTTCTGTAAAAGGTCTTGAGTGTGTGCCAGACTCTGTGTACCTGCATGTCTGGGACACGTGGGGTGAGTGTCCAGTGTCCTGTGGGCATCCTAGTGCAGTATGCTGGTGTTACTACTCTGACTCCTCATTTGCTACCTCTCAGCCTGGCATGCCTGTCTCACCATGTGTCTGGGTGTCACTGTCTTGGGTCGCTTGTATAGTTGATATCCTCCATCTCCTTTGGGCCGCTGCTCCTCACTCTTACTCCCCCCCACCCCAGAACAATGGCTTGGTCTGAGCCAAGGGTGAGTCAGCGTGCAGGCTGCCTCCGTCTGGGTGTAAATAGGAAAGGGTGTGGGTCAGGGTGGGAACTGGGGGGGTGGGGTGGGGTGGCCCCAGGGAGAGCCTGGATGAAGTGGCCAGGCTCTCCATCTCCACAAGGCTTCCTTCCAGCTCAGGGAGTCTGTGGTCTCCCACCCGCTTGTAGTTCATAACCCGGGTCCACAGGGGTTTTGTGGGGCTCTGTGAAACTCTGAAAGAATGTCCAATAATAACAGCTGGTGCTTACATAACACCAAGTACCACACACTGTTCTAAGCACTTTATATATATTTGTTCACTTTAATATATGAGGCAGGTAATATTATTATTTCTGACTTGCTGCTGAGGACACTGAGGCACGGAGAAGGTTTGGGGTTTGTCCAAGTTCATTCAGCCAATAGTGAAAGATCAGGGCTTTGAACCCAGGTGTTTAGTTTCAGTCTAAACTTTTAACCACTGAGCAACCCTGTGCAAAATTTGGGGTGCGTGGAGTATGTGAGTGTGTGTTGGGATAGAAAGGGAGGCATAAAATGATTGTAGTTTTGCTTTTGTATTTCTGGTCGTATAAAAAACATGTATGAATTTATTAAGTAATCACTTAAGATTTTGCACTTAGGCACCTATATGTTATAAGTCAATAAAATATTTTTTAAAAATGTGTGCGTCTGTGTTTTCCTTCTGGGAAAGGGGTCCTGAGCTTCAGGCAGATGTGAAAAATCAGAAGAGAAGTTTAGACTCATGAGGGTGTCTGGGTGAGGGCACAGGTGTCTGTGTGGCCTTGGGCAGATACCTGCCTCTTTCTGGGTCTCGGTTTCTCCATGTATGACCCAGAAGGATTGAATCTGGGGCTTGGAGGGGACAAAGGAGGGGACCCCTTTGTGTGTTCTGCTCCTCCCTTGGGGTTAAGAGCTAGGTAGGTTTTTGTTTCGTGTAGTAGACACATAAGTGCAGTGTGTGTGTTGTCTGTCTGTCTGTCTGTCTGTCTGTGTGTTTGTGTGTGAACCTACTAGGCTCAGAAGATCCTTTTCTATTTCTCCATTGTCATTTCTCACCTGTTTGCTATGCTCCAGCCACACTGAAGAAACTACCCCCCGTCCAGCCTTTGAATATACTATTTCATCTTCCTGGAGCCCCCCTCACTGCTCTTTATCTAGCTCACTCTTACCTATTATTCTGGGCTCAACCTCCGAAGGCTGAATGGCATGCCCATCTGGGCTCCCACCATCCTCTGGGCTTCCCAGTCCTAGCCCTGACCACTCTGGGCTGTCAGTAGTGTTTGGTCTACGTTGCCTACTGAAATGTGAGATTCGAGAAGGCAAGTCTGGGACGTCTCAGTCATTGCTGTGTCCCCATCTCTATCCAGCACAGAGCTGGCATCAAGGAGGTCCTCAGAGAACATGTGTTGAATGAATGAATGAAAGGGTTTCAGCCAGGAGCAGAAGGAAATACGCTATTTGTCTCAAGCAGTAGCATCTTATTTCTTGTGTTCCTGTGGGTCCTGGGAATTCCTAGGGACAGGACTAGGATGTAGGGGGCTGTGTCCTGTGTCTGAGTCAGGAGCCAGCCTGCGCCATATGATCTGGAGCAGGGACGTGGGCTGGCTGCAGGTCCAAGGGCTGGAGAGAGATGCTGGCTTATGTTGTTTGTCTGAATTGTGTTTGTCCCAGGAGAGTTAACGACTGTCCCATCCTCTGGGATTCTCAGCTGCTTGGTCTGTGGGGTGTGTCACTGAGTTGGGAGGGGACGATATAGCTCATGTCACAGAATGTGATCCAGGGGCAAGGAACCAAGTGTCCTCGGATGAATGTCCCAAGAAGAGGTTTTATCTGTACCTTGTGGGCTGGAGGAGTGTGGGGGAAACTGGGCCAGGGTGGAAGAGAAAAGGGGGGTTTGCCTGGTTCCCTGGACTGTTCTCTAAACCTCTTGCCAAAGCTGCTTAGTGAGATGGTTGGTGGGTGGGATGAAGGGAGGAGAGGGGGAAGAGAGAGAGAGAGAGAGAGAGAGAGAGAGAGAGAGAGAGAGAGAGAGAGAGAGAGAGAGAGAGAGACTATGAATATATGAATGTGTTCTGACCCTGGGCTCCAGCTCTGGTGTTTGACCTAAAAAAATCCAAGGGATTAAGGATGAACTAGAACCAAAGCCAAGCCAAAGATGCAATTCAGGGGGGCCTTCCCTGGATTCCTAGACGTCGAAGCTCAGGCACTGGTCTTGGGAGGGAAGATATAGAAGGGTGAGAGATATTAAGGGGGATTAGAAACAGCGCAGGGGCCTTGAAAAATGTAGGGTTGGGGGGCAGGAGACAGAGCTGGAGGAGAGGCAGAAAAAGGGCTGCATTTGAAGGGAGGACAAAACAAGACACAACAAGAGGGAGCTGAGGCTTAGGAGAAGGAGAGAAACATAAAGGTAGAAATGGGGGAGCAGAGGCAAAAAGAAATGAAGGTTAACCCCAGCAGAGAATGACCCCACTGCGGGGTGCTACTGAATATTGGTCGAATGGGTGATTGAATAGAAAGGGAGAATTGGATAGCAAGAGAAGAAACATGAGAGAATATGAGAGGTGGATGGAAATGAAAATATGGGGAACGAGATGGGAAGACAGAAAGGGGGGAAAAAAGGAGAGAGGGAGGGGGAAAAGCAGAGACAGACAGACCCAATGGGAGACTAAGAGAAGAGGTGGGGGATATCCACACAGAAGCAGAGAGATGGAGTAAAGAGAGGGGCTGATGGGAGTAGAGACTAAAGGAACAAGAGGTGGGCAAGTCAGAGACAAAATGACAGACACATAAAGATGACCCAGACAGGGAAAAACAGTGAGACTCAGATTGGGCAAGAAGGGTAACAGAGAAATCCAAAGGGAAACAGTGGGGGCAAAGGAGTGGGTGTGCGCGTGTAACACGGACGGCTGCCCCCTCAAGCCTGGAGAGACACCCTAACACCTGCCTCCTGCCCACCCCGCCACCAGCTTCTCCAACTGACCCAAAGGGGCAGGTGTGTGGGAAGCGGCACATCTGCCAGCACATCATGCAAATGAGCTCATGAATATGCAGCAAGCCCATTGTCTTGCCCTGCCCCCACCTCCATCTGCTCGGGCCTGGCATGGGGGTGGGGTGGGGGGGCAGCTCTTGTCCTCTCAGGAGGAAGGGAGGTCCTCCACCACTCTCACTTCCCCTTCCCCTTCATCCAGGGCCCAGGTGGGAGGGACAGGAGGCCTGGGGCAGAGTCCTGGGCAGGGGCTTACCCGGATAGAAGTCTTTGGACTTGGAGAGCTTGATGGTGGCTCCTGTCTCCTTCTGTAGCTGCACGATGGTCTGCCCACCCTTGCCAATGATGGAGCCTGCTGCGTAGCTGGGGATCAGCACCTTCAGGAAGTATTCACCTTCCTCTGCAGGGGCACACAGTGGGGGTGGGGTGGGGTCAGGGGGTGGGGGAGGGGTCTTCACCTTTAGAGGATACCCACAGGGAGTTGCTAACATGGGGTGGGCTAGGGAACCACTGGGGTCACAGTAACATACAGGAGCAATGACCATGAGAATAGCAATAAGGAAAATAGTGACGTTCATTTCTTCATTCATTCATTCATTCATTCATTCATTCACATTCCACAAATAGTTACTGAGCACCTCCTTGGCACTGTTCTAGTGAAACAGCCATGAAGAAAGCACACTAAACTCCCTGATTTCGCGGGCAAAATAAAGCCTAAAGAGTTTTAGCAATTCAGTCAAGAGCTTACACAACTACATTCTTCTAGAGAGGGGAGACAGACACTATGGTTTGTGTCAGATGGTGGTAAGTACTAAGAAAACAAAAAAAGGTGGGAAAGGCGATGGGGAGTAGAGGGGCTGCACTGTAAGATCTGGAGCAGGAAAGCCCTCTCAGAGAATGTGGCCTTTGTTCATCAAACACCCTCCAGCACCTAATATGCTCTAGACTCTTCCAAGGACTTACAAATGTGAGTTCATTTAATTTTCACACTGAAACGACGAGAGAGGTACTTAAAAAAAAAACCTGTTCTACAGATGGGAAACAAAGGTGAAGAAATCGTCCCAGTTCTCATAGCTAGTAGGTGGCTGAGATTTGAATGCAACCTGTCTCCAGAGTCCACGCTGTGTCCAGGCTGTGGGGGAGGGTTCAGACCATGTGGCTACGTGAAGAGCAGGTGCAAAGGTCCTGGGGTGGGATTGTCCCTGGGTTGTTTGAGGGGGAGTGAGGCAGCCAGTGTGGCTGGGGCTGAGTGAGAGAGAGAGAGCAGGAGAGTAGAGGGGGTGAGGACTCAGAGGGATGATGGTAGTAGGGGGGTGTTGAGGCTTGTGTACCTGTTGAGGTCTTTGGCTTTTACTCCTAGGGAGATGGGAGTCACGGAGGGCTCTGAGCAGAGGAGGAATGTGATCTGTCTTAGGTTTCAAGAAGATCCCTGACACCTAGGAGGGGAGCAGACTATGAGAAGCAAGGGTGGAAGAGCTAGGAGCCCAGTGAAGTGGTGACTGCAATGGTCCAGGCAGTCTGGGGGAAGCAGCGAGGGGTGAGGGGAGAGGAGGGCTGGACTCTGGAGATGTTTTCAACACTCACTATGGACTCAGCATTTTGCTGAGTGTTTGCAAGCTTTCATCCACTCCTCACAACTTAACAGTGAGGTGAGTAGAAAGAGATCCATTTTTACATAAGAGGAAACTGAGGCATAGAAGGGCTCAGAGAAGGGAAGGCACCAGCCCAAGGTCACCAAGACATTGCTGGGTTGAGAGCCAAATGCACTTTTGCTTAATTCTTGGCCCTCCCTTGCTTAACACCCTCTGCTGCTAGTGGCCCAAGACCACCGTGCTCAGGACAGTGTCAAAGACCTAGAGTTGCCGAGGTGGTGCCAAGGGCGTCGGTGGGGCTTTGTCCATTCTTTGTTATGGACCCATTTTCTTGGTCATGTATGTGTAAAGCGCTTTGCTAATGCAGTCTCAAGGCAAGTGCCTACCCTCTCCTACCTTCTAACCAAACTGCCCCCAAGTCCTTCCAGGGTAAAAATTCTGGAGCCTTCTTGACATAAGTCCCTTGGTGATTTGTCCCCACCCACCTTTCCAGCTTCAGGTCCTCATCTTCCTCTAAGGACACTAGACACACTTTCCATTTTGTTCCTCAAACGTTTCCTCCTCTGTCCCACCTCAGGGCCTTTGCACATTCTCTGCCCAGAACTCCCCTCCCCCACTGAATTCCTCTTGTTCTTCAGGACCTCACTTGAATGTCTCTTCTTGGAGGCTTTCCTTGAACTATGAGGAGGGAATGGCTCTCCCTGTTTCATGCCTTCAGAGCAACGTCTCACAGAAGTCCATTGTGCATCATGTCGCTAGAGCTCACCCTGTGCCCTAGGGCTAGCGTCCAGCATGCAATAAACTCAGTGTCCAGCATTCAATAAACACTGGGGGGTGGGGGGGGAGAAAAGAGGGGAGGAGCCAGGTCATTCGGCTTCCAAAGATGAAGGTCTTCAACCATCCCCTGGTGGTTTTCAACTTTTTCTTTTAAGCAAAGGAAACCTATTTTTAATGTGCTCCCAGGAAATTTCAATATACAGAGCAGATAAAAGAGAAACTGAGTTGGTAAAAGTGGAGGCTGGGCAGGGGGCTGGAAGCCCTGTCCATCACCGCCTGGTCCCTTAAGATGGAAGGTTCTGGGTTCCCTGATGTGTTAAGATGGGGGCTTGGGGGTGAGGGGTTGGATATAGCTGTGCCAGCATGGGGTGGGGGTCCAGAATTAAGGGGTTTCCCTGAGCCCAGGGCAATCCTCTTAAACTTGCCTAATCAGACCATTAAGCCTATTAGCTAATTAGCTCCCCAGGGTACCTTCCCATCAATCATTCTGACCTGCCTGAGTTCACTTTCTTCCCTGGGCTCACTGGGCTTGCCTACCTCTCCCCTAAACCTGTCATAGAGAGGGGGCTAGTTCTCCATCTCTGGAAGGTTCAGGAAGATGGGGAGATGTTCTCACTAGGACTGTCCTCTTTCCTTCTTTGACTCCATCCCCAATCTTCTCTCTAGCTTCCCTCTTGAAGACAGAAGGTATTCATCTGCTCTGAAGAAAACTGGGGAGGTCCCCACACCCCATTTCTTATGCCCTCTCTCTCACATTTTCTAGGTTTTGTCAGAATTTCCAAAGGAAACAGCAGAAAACAGCCCTGGACTGAGCGTGAATGTTGTCACTGACAGGCTGTGAAGCCTTGGGCAAGTCACCTCACCTCTTTGGGTCTGTTTTTCTCATCTGTAAAATGGGGACATGATAGTGTCACCTCATAGAGTTATTGTCATTAATTAAATGATAAACTGTTACATACTTAGGATGGTCTTGGGCACATAGAGCCCTTGAGAATCATTAGGTATTATTATTATTATTAGCATTATTATTATTATTTAGGATGGTCTTGGGCACATAGAGCACTTGAGAATCATTAGATATTATTATTATTATTATTACCTACTTCATGAACACAAGTTCAGTTCTTATCACAGTGCCTGGCACACAGTAAGTGCTCTTTAAACGCAGAAATGAGTCTCTTTAAGATTTGGGGTTTTGTTGGGAAGCAGTAAAAGGACAGCAGACCCCATTTCCTCCATCCCCTCTCCCGCCTAGGGGCTGCCCCAGGCTTTTCCCTGCTTCTTGGAGGAGGAATGTTCTCTCACTGGTGGAACTGACACCCTGCTCCCCTCAACATCTCTCTAGTGCCCGTCGTCCTCATGCCACCTTCTTCAGTGTTGCCCTTCATAAGTCCCACTGTCCTATTATTTCCTTCCTTCTTTCCCTCTTCCTCCCCTTCCTCTAACAAATCCTTCCTGGGCACCCACTATGTGCCAGGCCTTGTTTTAGGGAACAAGACAGTCCGTTTCCTTTATGTCCACTCACTTTTCAAATTTAAATGCATTGACTTAAAGAGGACATTAAAAAATCATTGCTATTAGTCAGAGTTTGGAGGGCTGGTTATTCTTTCCCCCTCAAAGCACATGAATAAAAACATACAACGGTCAAAAAAACAGTGTGTCCATGGATCCCCTTAAACCACCTGGGGGTGCTCAGTGGTTCCTGTATCAGATTAGTAGAAATTTGGAGCCTGTTACTCAAGCCAGTCTCCTAGGGAGAGTGACCGGCTGAGACCTTCTGCCTATAGAAGCTCAGAACTCTAGGCCCGAGGAGTCCCCATTGTGGCCATCAGCCCGGTCCTCTTCATAATCTGCATGTCCTGCATGTCCTTCCTGTTTGAGGGCATGTCCCACTGTGTGAGTCCCAACGCCTCTGGGAAGAAGCCAGGCCTCTACTTCCCAGCCTGCCTTGCACCAAGGAAAGCCACGTGACCTCAGCTGAACCAGAGCCCCCAGACCGCAAACTTCCCACCCTCTTTGAATAACCAAGACTCTGCCTGTGAAAAAGTTCTTCCTTCTACTGAAGCAGAATCTAGATGCCAGAACTTTCCACCCACCCTCACTCGACCCCCCTCTTAGCGCTTTACTCTTAGAGTCCGGGCAGCTCCCTCTACCATGACAGGGACTGAAGAATTAAAGATGCCAGCTTCAGCTCTCCTGATTAACCCATGTCCCTTTGGCTGCAATTCCAAATATTTCCACTTGGGAAGGGGCTGTCTGTCCTCTTCTAGTCATTATGAGTCTCTGGTATCCCCCTTCCTTTTGTGCCCACCCTCAGGATGTGCCCTCCCTGGAGGCTTCCAAAAAGCAATCAATACTTCCCCACACTCTCCCTAAAAAAAGGTTTACCTACCCAAATGACCTGGGGTGCTGTGTTAAGAGTGGCATTTTTTGCTGTCAGAGAGTTGACCCTGAAAAGTGGCTTTGATCTGGGGGGGGGGTTCATTAATGACAAAGGTAGAGCTGAAGAGGTGTATGTTATGGAGGTGTTGTTTTCGGTGACAGTTGTTTTCTGGCGGACCAAAGTTGGGGTGCTGCACGCATGGTACCTGCTCTTGTCTGGGGGTTGGGGTGGAAGCACTGTGTGCTCTATGGAGGTATGAGGAGTCTGGGGTGTGATGTTGATATTGTCATAGGGAGCATGTGAGGATGCTGTTGGTGAAAGACAAGAGATGGTGGGGGTGTGGTGTGGGATGAGTACCACTGAGGAGGGTGGGACGTCTGGCGTGTGATGTCTTTCTGTGAATGATGGTGTTGCCCGTTCGTGTGAGAAATGTAATACAACTGGAGCGTGCATCTGAAGGGATGAGATGTGGAAGGTGCGATGCTGTCTACGTTGTGACACTGTCTCTGAGTGAGAGAAAGGTGGGTGGGGTATGATTTCCTGGGAGTGATTCACCATTGGATGGTGAAACAAGACTATGACATTCTCAGTGGCAATAGTAATAGTAATAATAATAATAATGATAATGATGGTAATAATAACAATAATGATGATGATGATGATGATGGCAGGTTATTGAGTGTTTATCATCTGCCAGGCCTCATGCTATGAGCTTCACATATGCAATCTCATTTAACCCACACGATAGCCTGAGAGGCAAAGTTAGATCTTAGAGCCCCCATTTTCCAGATGAGGAGACTGAGGCTCAGAGCAGTAAAATAACTTGCCTGAGGGTCCCACACCAAGCACTTGGCAGGGATAAGATGAACCCTGGAAGGTCTCCCTCTAGGGCTCTTAAATCCTGGTAACACTGTCTTTGTGTTAAAGAGTGAGGGATCTTGGGAATAAGACCTGGCTTGTGTAAGCTACGTTTGGGGTGTGAGGTGTGTGTGTGTGTGTGTGTGTGTGTGTGTGTGTGTGTGTGTGTGTGTGTGTAGAGCTGCTGTTTCTGTATATGTGGGGGTGACAGAGGTGGGAATATAGTCAGAAGTACAAGGGCCATTCTAGTGGCATCTTTAGAGTTATCATCTGTATGTACATAAGGGGACTCTCTTTGTTACTGTCCCACCAGACTGGGGGCATTTATTTCTCTGAGAACTTCCTGACTAGAGTTTCCATCCAACTCTTCTCCCAAGTCCCCCTGTCCTTAGTGCCTGTCTCCTTCCCAATGGCATCTACATGCCAGTCACAGGGCTCAGAAGCCAGTTTTAACAGCCACCTTCCCCTATATCAGCCTCCGGAAGGCACAGGAGTGGCAGGCTGGTGCCATGGGCAAGAGCTCAATCTGCTCAGTCTGCCACAACTTGCTGTGACACCCCAGCAAAGTCCCTCAGCCCTCTGAGTCTATGTGTGGGGGACACTGAATGGCTTGGCTGAGTCCCTCTGAGCTGAGTCCCTCAGCTGAAAACGGGTTTCACTATAGTGTCTACCCGACTCGGGAGCCAGCCTCCTGAGTTCAAATCATGGCTCTGCCTCCTATTAGCTGGCTGACCTTGGACAAGTTACTTAGCCTCTCTGTGCTTCAGTTTGCCATCTGTAAGATGAATAACATAATAGAATTGTAAGGATTCAATGATTGGTCCATGCCAAGAGTTTTCCATAATACTTCTTGGCACACTGTAGATCATAAACATTAGCCATTATTATAATTTATTGTTATTGTTATTATTATTATTATTATTATTATTATTATATCAGAGTGTTGGAAGAATTAAATGAAATATTGCATGTAAGGCATTAAGCAATTATATTGATAGCTATAATTACTGTTATCATTGTGGTTAGTGTTATTTCCCCATTTTGCAGATGGTAACACTGAGGCTCAGAGAAGGGGTAAGGTTGACCCAGCATTCCAGTCATGAAACTATTATTAGAAGGAGCCCTAACTTTTGAGATGTAAGTCCCAGACCCTTGCCCACACCTGCCCCTGAGTGTTTCTGTAAATGGAGTATTGTCCTTTTGTATCTCTGGGCCTCAGTTTACCTATGGGCCAACAGGAGGGGAGGTGGCAAAGGCTGGAGGAGAGGGTCCCTAAGGATTCATCCTAATTTCCCAGCTGTTGAGGGAGGCAGGAGGCACAGTGGTTAAGCACATGAGCTCTAGAACCAGGCACCCAGAGTTGAATAGATCCCAGCTCCACCATTCATGAGCTGTGTGACTTTGGGCAAGTGGCTTTGTTTCCCTGAGCCTCAGTTTTCTTCATCTAAAAATGCAGCTCAAATCATCTCCCCGGAGGGATGTATTGGGAAATTAACCCATATCTCAGAGCCTGACTCGAAGTAGGTGCCAAGTACTTGGTCCTGATTGTCCTTGGTGGCATCACTTTTGTTAGGTTGTGATCTGATTGATCTGATTTTGAGCATCTCAGCCCCTTTCAGGAAAGGATGGGACCCACCCACACACACCCCCTCAGCCCCCACCCCCAGCGGGGGCGGGGCTGGGCTGCCAGGCTGGGCAGGGACTACCTGGGTCCCAGACCCTCTCCAGGACTGGGAATAGCAGTGGGGCAGGAAGAAGGAAAGGAATTCAGTGGGGCCATATTCATGTGTCTGTTGGGGGTGGGGGAGCAGGAAGAAGGACAGGAAACTCACTCCCAACCCCTCCCCCAACTTCCCTTTCCTCCAGTTTCTGCTGGACACCTTCATAGGCAGCCAGGAGGTCCCCAATTCCTGTCCCACCTGGACAAGGGTGAGGGGGCGCTGGGATGGGAGGCAGAGGCTCGATTTGTGTTCATCTGAAGGCAGGAGGTGGGAGGTCCCCACCCCAGCCACTACAGTGCCTGGCAGTGTGGAAAGGGTGCACTCTGCCTTAGGCCATCCCGCTCCCATCCGGAGGAAAAGGCCAGAGGAAGCTGAGATTTTGGCCAAGGTGACCGCAGGGAGGGGCTTGTCTGCTCTGGGGTCTCCCTCCTTCCAGGGAGCTAATGGACTGGGCTCTAAGGACCCTGACAAAACCTACCTCCTCTCTGAGTCCCCACTGCTGAGACAGACACCTAGTGTTCCCAGCTTGTCTTTCATTCTCTGGTACACATCCCTCCTCAGGTCACACACACACTGAGGGTCTCTCTGGTCTTACACACATATACCTTCTGTGGTGGCAAACATTCAGCCAACTCTCTCTCTCTCTCTCTCTCCCCCTTTCTCTCTCTCTCTCTCTCATCATACACACAGAATCATCCCCACCTTGCTGGTGTCACACACTCAACCATTTCACAGACACCTATCCCCTTGTTACAAATATGCACACACTTGCTTATCATATACACACCCCTTCCCTTTTCATACCCTTTGGGTGTCATATGCACACATATGTTCCTTGTCACACACCCTCGTGAGTTTCACCCACACAGCCCCAGCCTCTCCCTCATCATATCATACACCCACCTTCCCTTGTTACACACCCCCACCTCCGATGTCACTGTTGCACACCTCCATGTGTCACACCCAGCCACAGCCTCTCTGGAGTCACACCCACACCCTTTTCTTGTCACATACCCTCACCAGCTTCTCCTGGTCCCACCCCACCCCAGATATGCCTGTGTCACACACACTAAACTGCTTTCCCCCGATCCACACAGCCTCTCATCGCTCATACCCAGAGCCGGCCCATTCAGTGTCCCCCACACACCTCCTTGCACGTCACACACCCTCTTACTCATGTGTCACACTCTGCCACAGCCCCTTTTGGGGTGACATGCACACAGTTTCCCTTGTTACACATACCCCTTCAAGGGTCTCAAACATGGAGCTCAGCCCCTTTCATGTCACCCTGTCTCTTATACACACACCCTCTTTCCTGTAATATCCATAATCCCTAATGTCACACATCCAGGCCTTACAGGGCCCACACGCACACATGAACACGAACGAACGAACACACACACACACACACACACACACACACACACACACACACACCTGTCCCAGCCATACAATCTCCTACCTAGCTTTACAACCCACCCTTTTCTCCATCTTACCCAACACACCCACCCAGCTTGTCCCCACGCACAATCCCGCCCATGGCCCACACACGCTTCCCTCCGGGACAACCCTTGCTCAGGACATCCCCAGGGAGGGAGGCTGGAAAGCTCCGGGGCCACAGGCCTCCTCTACACCTTCCCTTACCCCCGCCAGGACACGCCAGCCGGGGAACACCCCTGCCCCGAAAGGGTCACATCACACACCCCTCAAGGACACAGACACCAGCTAGGAGGGACCCTCGCCCCCATCCTTTGCGGCCCCCCCCAAGGACACTTACCACCCCCTCCCCCCAACCCTTCTCGTCGCAGACAAAGCTCCCAACCCCGGGCCGCGGCCAGAAGGGGAGGGGGCCCGGACCCTCCCCAACTCTCCTCACGGTTCCCTGGTCTAGGGAGGGGCGCCCTTCCCCTCCCTAGAGCCCTTGCACCTGCCAGTAGGGGAGAGAGGAGGATGGAGAAAGACGAGGCCCCCTGCCCGCTCCGCCACTCCGAGCGCAGCCCTTTCTCACCTCCCGTGTTGCTGCGCTTGGTGCAGACCACCTCGGGGGGTGTTTCGAGGGGCCTCTTGCGGGAATCCTGGGCCTCGGGCTCCATGGGGGGGGCCTGGGGCGGCGGCTGCTGCTGCTGCGGCGGCTGCGGCGGCGGCGGCGGAGGCTGCTGTGGCGGCGGCGACGGCTGCTGGGGAGGCTGGGGTTGCGGCGGCGGCGGCGG